TTGGTACAATTTTCTTAAAATATCACTTTTTTTTTTGTTTTGTTTTGTTTTGTTTTGGTCTTTTTGAGACAAGGTCTCCCTGCAGCCACAGCTGGCCTGGATTCACTAATGGAGACCAGGCTGGCCTCGAAGTCACAGAGGTCTGCCTGCCTCTGCCTCCCAAAGGTGAGGAGGTGACATGCATATGTGGCATAGGGAATTCCCAGGTACAATGAAATCTATGATCTTGACTTTGTCATGGAACTAGTCTAATGTAGAAGGACTTAAATTACCCACAAGCCAAAAGAACCCTCTTACTGGATTTACTTATCTTGTAAGTCTGACATTACTGGAGCAAGCTCTAGGGGTGAATTGTGAAAGTGTTAGGGATAACCCCACAAGGAATTTATATAGCTTTTGAATCCTGAGAAATCAATTATCACCCATTACTACTGTTGTTGTTTTGAGACAGATTTATTTTTCCGGGACGGCTTAGAACTCTCTATTATAGCCCAGGCTGGCTCCCAACTCAGCAGTTTTGGCCTCTCAGGAGCTGGGATTATAGGAATAAGCCACTATATCAGGCCCATTACTGCTTCTTAACTAACCATTATGAACAACGACCATATGTAATTAAAATCAGCTTCAGAGGACTTCAAGTCCATGTTTAGGGATACTGGCAGGCTACAAGAGGAATGACGGGCCTGCAGCAGCTAACTGCTGATATGAGGATGGCGACTCTGATAACTTTGGCAGAATTAACTAAACTCTTTGCAGTCTTTGCAGAAGTAGCATAGCTACCTAACACGTTTGCCCTGTGTCCTAGAACTGGTTTAAATGCTTTATACAGAGACAGAACTAGGTTGAGACCACTCCTGTTCCTCAGTGGCACAATGACTTAACAATAATATCATGTAATCTCTTACAACCACTGGGAGACTTAAAGAAAAAGCTGTAGGAGAAAAGATTAGTAAGGCAGACTCAAGCTTCCCAGAGTCTTACTCATCCATCTATCAAGAGGTGGGCGGTCCTGTGTGACTGCCTCAGTGTACAGAATGTAGCAGAAGTGATGCTATGTGACTGGGGGGGGGGTAACAAGGTAGCCTGGCTTCCCCCACCTCTCTCTAGTATGTGCCATAGCAGTGCTCAATTCTGTGAAGTCTGGTTATCTGGAACGGAGTGGGTACTTGAAAGTATGCCCTTGGGTAGTATCTATTGTCTCTGGCCCCGTCATTCCCCTTTCTTTGCTTCCTCATGGCTACCATGAAATGAGCAGCCTCTACTCATGGGTTGGGGCTATAGGCTCAGGAAGGTGTCCATCCTGGAACATGACACCTGGGAGCAAGTACTGAGGATCAAATGAAGACAGCAGAATCTGTCAGCATCAGTCCCAGAAATCCCCCTGCCCAGTGACCTCGTCCCCAAAGCCAGAGAGCAAGGGGACAGAAGTCTTGCCCAAGGGAGTGGGATGGGGTGGACTAGGAGAGAAGCAGAGATGCTCACGGCAGCAAGAATGGTGTCTCAGTTACTATGGTGGGATGAGACAATGCAAACAGTGCTTTATCTTTCTTTTTCCTCTCTCCCTCCCTCCCTCCCTCCCCCCTTCTTCCTTCTCTGTCTGCTATGTGTGTTATGTGGACATATTATGTGTGGGGTGTGTATGTGTGTGTTATGTGTATGGTGTGTGTGTATGTTTGTGGTTTATGTATTCGTGGATAAGACACCTTCAGTTTTCTCCATAAAATCCTTAACTTGGACTGGAGAGATGACTCAGAATTAGAGCACCAACCGCGCTTGCAGAGGACCCAAGTTCAATACCCAGCACCCAGAGATCTACCTGTCTTTGCCTCTTGAATGCTGGGGTTAAAGGCATGCACCACCACACCCACCTTACAATTTCAATCGTAAGAGTTCTTTCAACATTATACTTTCTTCTTTTTAACATAGAAAATCTTATGGAAATATTTTTATTTACATATATTAGAAACTGGAAATATAAGCTAGACATAGTGGTGCACGCCTTTAATCCCAGCACCCAGCAGGCAGAGACAGGCAGATCTCTGAGTTCGAGGCCAGCCTGGTCTACATAGAAAGTTTCATCCAGGGCTGTACCCAGCACCCACATGGTGGCTAACAACCATCTATAACTCTAGTTCCAGGGGATCCAATGCCCTCTTCTGACCTTCAAGGGCACTGTACGACACAGGTGCACTTCTCGCATGCAGGCAATACGATCATACACATAAAATAAAAACAATAAACAAAATATTAAAAAATAAAAATAAAACCCTTAGCTCACTAATACAAGTCTTTGTCACCTGAGAAAGTGAAAAGGCCACTCACACGTCCCCAACTGTTGATCTGATTCTAAGAAACCTCATGACATTTAAAACTGTGTCCCTAGAAAGCATCCAGATCTGTTTTTACTTAGACCATGAACACTGGGTAAGTTCCTTTGTCCTTGTCACAGACCGTCACTCCAGTTTAAAACCACTGACACTCCACAGCCCATTGTCTGACTCTATGAGCTAGTATAGGCCGTGGAAATATAATGTGGTGCATGGGAAACACTTCCTTCAAAGACTATCTGTAACAAGTGCCCTTGAGTATTGCTATCTATAATTTAAATATAAAAATAAAATTTAGGTCAGATGTGGTGGCGCGCACCTTTAATCCCAGCACTCGGGAGGCAGAGGCAGGCAGATCTCTGTGAGTTCAAGGCCAGCCTGGTCTACATAGTGAGTTCCACGACAGCTGGGGCTACAGGGAGACCCTGTTTCAAAAAGATTAAAAAAAAGTAATAAACAAAATAAAATAAAATTTACATCACTTAGTCTTCATCAAGTTTTTAGAACTTGTGTGTCTGTGGTGTGTATGTCTACGTGTATGCAGATGCATGTGTGGAGGCCAGATGACAATATCTGGTGTCCAGCTCTCCACCTTGTTTCTTTGAAACAGGGTTTTTCACTGAACCTAAGGCTAGGCTGGTAGCCAGCAAACCCCACTTATCCTCCTATGCTGTCCCAACCCATAGGAATGATAGCCATCAGGCAAGTGAGAGAAAAGATGGGGAATCTTGCAGCGCCTATGGTGGTCTGAGTGCATGCACTGAGGAGAGGAGGGACACAGGCGAAGCATCTGTCTGTCTCAGGTTTTGAGCCTCTCGGGTGTATCCTGTGAGAAGGCAGAGAGGACTGTGTCCTCAGTTGGCAGCCATGTGAAGAGTGGCAGGAGACTGGAGAGTGCTGGCTGTAGCAGGCCAGCCTGCTAAGCCCCTGTGACTGGGTTTGATTGGCTACAGTTGTCAGTAGCCACTGATCCTGGGCAGTGGAAGTAGCTATGGACCTGGCCAGGCTTTTTCCACCAGAGGTTCTCTGCGTAGAAAGGCTGGCTCAGGGTGGCCGCCTTGGAGCTCTAGGTCATCTACCTAGAGGTGGGGTTGGTGGAGGAGATGGAGTTCACTGAAACAGAAGCCTAACAGTGGGCCAATCCCACCTTCCACTGGCGTCACCTCTGCCATCTGAAAGCAGAGTGGGGCAGAAAACACACCAGTGCAAACAACTCCACACTGTCATTGCTGTATTCTCTAAACAGCAGGGACTTCCTCCTTGGGCCCAGAAGCAGTAAACAACGAGACAAAAGAAGTTTCTTCATCCACTGCTTGAGGGTGTAGGTCATACGCCCTAACACCCACCCATTTTAAATGCTCAGTTTGATGGACTTTAATAGGTTTATCCCATGTCACATACCACTTGTGACCTACACTGAAATGAAGTGGAGGGCAAGCCTATGTGGCTGACACAGAGCTGCGGCTGTGACCAGCAGCTTCTTTGTAACCTTGTCCCATTTGGGTTGGGATTTCACCTCTCCACAAGGGTTAGGTACAAAATGTAAAGTCAGTAAGTGTGTGTGAATGCTGAGTGGTGGGTGAGCTGGCATCTGCAGTTAGTTCAAAGACTGGCACTCTGAGCACATTGACAAAAGAGATGAATGCTAACAGGGATGGCCTGAGAGGCTAAGGCCTGGGAGCTGCAGGAGAGATGTGAACAGGAGGTAAGTAGGCAGCCTCTGCAGTTTCTGCACAGTCTGGCGCTCTCACAGCAGCAGCAAGAGAACTCATCAGAAATGCAGGGGTAGGAGGCTGAGGCAGGGGGATTTTGAGTGAGAGGCCAACCTGGGCTGCAGAGTGAGACCCTACCTAAAAAGAAAAAAACAAAAGAAAACAACACCCTCTCTTGAGCCCTACTCCAGAGCCACTGAACCCTACTTTGCATTTTGACCATCCCTCCCAACTCCCCACATAAACATGGGGAAGTGTGGGATGCACTGGTACTTATGTGACAGTCCAGACCCGCACAGCAGGCCAAGAAGGTGGATGGACAGCCTGCTT